AGAGAGAGAGAGAGAGAGAGAGAAAGATATACATATACGAAAAGACGAGTTGAATCTCGATAATTCGTTCGTGAAGGAAGACCGCCTATTTGTATCTAAGTGTGGTTTTGGTTAGGAAGAACGAATGAAGCTTCCCCAAAACATACCTCTGCCACGGTGATCGTAGAATTCGCGTGAACCGATCAACTCTCGCTGAACGAGTGCCTCGCACGAGCACGAGAGGCTGCAACTGTCGCTCGGACGTTCGATCTTCTGATTAACATTAGAAAAAAGTAAAAAGAAAAAAAGAAGATAAATGAATAAATAAATAGACGCATCGGTTCACGCGGTTCGTCGTCGGTTGCCGTGATGCTCAGTAGTGTCGAATGTTTTGCATGGGCTGTTTAACTTTTTTATCTCACTATTTGTAGTTTAACACACGGCCGCTTGGTCTTGGCGAGGTTGCAAGACTCGAGGTAAGTTTTCGGGACGATCGGTTTCGAGCCGAGCGAGGAAAGTTCTTCTTTCTTAACGCGAGCTTTTTTGTTCGCGACCCAGGGCTCTTAGGGCCCTGGAATTCGTCGTCACGAGTATATACATATATATATATATATATATGCTTTTTTTCCGACCTCGACACTATGCATCCTCGATGTGTTTGTACAGACAATCGTGCTTCAGCATTGTATAACGTATAGCTGTCGACTCTCTGGTGCAAGGAATGTCAGGAAATAACATATATATATATAATCGTTTCTACATAGCGTTGTATTATTGGCAAGGCATGCTGACAGATGGCGTGGCTTATCTGGCAAGACGTTTTTCGAGAGAACGAGCATACACGTTAGAAGAAGATTTTTCAAATGCGTCCGTAATATCATAAGATTCGAACGATGAACGACGCTTATTGGAAAATGCATCCCTCAGACCATAGAAACAAAAAAAGAAAAAGAAAAGAAATTTTATAGACGGTTAATTTTCTCTTTTTTTTTTTTTACCGAAGTTCTGCCTGGTGTCATTAGGAGAAGCGCAGGTAGTTTAGTTCTGGTAGATTTTTTTTTTTTTTTTAGTTTGAATGCATGTTGTTTGAGTAATGTTTGTCAGACAGTGAAAGGGCGTGTAGCGTCCGAGTCTTTTTTCACTCGTCGGGGAGCGAGACATTTTCGAGCTGGTTCTCAATTTTCGACATAGCGCCTGTCCTCTTTCTTTTTCACGCGGCGAACGGTAGCCATAGAAAAGAACTTTTA